TCTAATATCATTGAGATATATGTTTATCTTGTTACTTACGATTTAGTTTGACATGAAACGATCTATTGTATAGAAGTAGGTTTTAAAACGGTTACACATGGGGATCATCATAAAATTCCAAAACGAAATTAAAATTACAACTATTAGATAATGTTATGAATTTGGATTTTGTGAAGATTATTAAATCACGTAATGTTCGTCCATCTCATTAGTCGATTAAGTTCACTTCAAAGTTAACTGTTTTACATTTGAACTTTTAAAAAGTAATCATAAATGAGATTATTATCTGAGATTTCAATAATTTAAAGTAACTAATCTGTCTTGTAAATTTTGATAGAACAATGAAGAAGGCAGAATTGATATAAAAATTTGATTTATTTACATTAAACATTTTCATCAATTATAATTGTGTAGCTTCAATTGACTCATGATTTCAATCAGTGAACTTTCTAAAAATCTCCACAAAACCCCTTCTGATAATAATCATCTGCTCATTAATGACTGACTTCAAGAGATAATCCTGGAATTCTAATGAGAAGCCGTTACCAGTGGAGTTCATCCAGGTCTGTTGTTAGATATCCACTCACTGAAGACAATGGTGTACGGTGACGCAACTTCGTGGATTGGTGGAAGTTAGACATTAACAACGTTGGGTGCCGACTCAGTGATCTAGTTGGTTAAGCGCCTGGCGCGAGACTGATAGGTCCTGGGCTCTAATCTCGCGGGGTTCGGGATCGTGAATGCGCACTGCTAAAGAGTCCCATACTAGGATGAAACGGCCGTCCAGTGCTTCCAGGTTTTCCATGGTGGTCTAGTTCCAATTTAATCATGATTTCAATCGGTGAAATTATAATTGTAACAAAACATATGTGAATGATCAAGTTACAAATCAAAACACCCGAACCGATTATTGAAGTACTAGTAACTGATAATTAAAAATCGATTTTAATTATTATGAAATGAATCATAAAAGGTTATTAAATTATATTATAATGAAATATATCTCTTTAATTAAACATGTGACTAGAAAAAGTAATAAGGTTTTTAGAATCATCAGGGTTAAGTAAAGAATAATTAATGTTTGAACAATGAAACGAGTAGATTATAATGTAATGTGAATTCACCATTTTTTTTCTCCTTCTACTTAGAAAAGAAATGAGATGTACTTAGTACATCATCGAAATAATGCACAAGTATACATAGTTCTGTTTTTAGAGTGAGCTCTTTTTTTATTATATTAAGATTAAACTGAACAACCATAGATACTTTGAACAAATTCTTAAGTATAAATGAAATAGACAGTTATTTAAATTGTGTTTAATTTGCATCATTTACATGAAAATCTATTTATGTTATTTATTCTCTAGTATCCACAGTTAATGACAACCTGAGTGACCCAATAAGAATATCGCTAACTGTAGTAATGAAAAAGAGATTTCGAACTCTGTATAATAGTAGGAGGTTCTTTTATAATACAAACATATCTCTCTCTTAAAAGTATTATTAAACGAAAGGCATGAAAGCGTGTTTCATTTAATTATAAATGTCAGGTATCATACATATTGTTGGATTGTTCAGTAAATACAAGAACTGAGCTGCTCATAGTTGAAGAATCTCCATGATAATAATATAGTGGCATAAAACTCCATTTTCAAGTAAATCAAGAGTTAAAATGAAGGATGTAAGGATTGTCAGTCAAATCAAGACAACTGTTGACTTATTATTTAAACGAAAATACAACAGGTATGGTCTGTTTTTCTTTGAAATTAACAGTTCTAATTATGATGAATTCTACACTCACTATTCGACTAAAGAATTTGGGGCTGAAAATATCATCTGCACAAAATAAACCTCAACGAACTAACTGAAAATTATTTATTTCTAAGAGACTTATAGGTTTAATTTCAACAATAGTATCAAGAATAAGGTAAAAGGATTGACACAGATGGGAAATATTCTGAAATGGATAAGATTGATTTAAAGCAAATATTGATGTAATCAAACTTCGACTGGAGTCCCTCCGGGGGCTACTGCGGGTCCCAAGACTGGATAAAGGAGGAGGGTTAAGCATGGGGTTAGAGACCCCATCCCGTAGAAAACTAACACGCTAAAAAAACGCTATTCAGAAGAAATTATTCAAACCTTTTAAACTCTGCCCTGGGAGTCAGAAGGTCTTTATTTAGAAGAGTTATGACGCCTCATTAAGTAATTGATGTAATCGATCCTCACTGACATTAATTCACATATTTGTCAAGCAGGTTTCAAACACATTAAAATGCTTCGAAATAATGTCATACATAATTTTATTTAATACACGAAATTACATTAAATATATTTCTACAATAGTTTTATGGAATGTAAAAACCATTTGTAGTATTCATAGACATTTCACATTCCTAAATGATAAATGTCACAAATGAATCATGATCCAATCAATATGTAATCGATGAAAAAAGTTTTCAGAAATTAAAATCTTGTGATCAACTTATTGCGTTGAAGGCACTCAATGAATTCCTGAAGTATAACGCAAAGATCACAGAAACGAAAACATCATTGCAACATGTAATCACTTATAATTTATGAGGATGATAAAACCCAATAAACTAAGCGAAGTTGATTCAGCTTATTGTTTAAGGAAAATTAGAAATACTTCAATAATAAATAATTATGTTAAAGTGGTGAATTCTTAAAACTTAACATAATTGACTTATCATAATAATGAACAATAATATAGATAAATATGTGAAAACAAGCATTCAAATAACATTTTTTTAAACTGTAGATAACTCAACTTTTATTTTATTCAAACATGTACACATTAGTACAAGGAGGGCTAGGATACTGCTCGGGGGCCTAAACCGAAGCAGATGGTTTCCTTAGGGAGCCACACCCCGAGCCTTTGACCTAAAGGTCTAATCCACAAGACAGTGGAGCAATGTAAGGAGATGCAGTCCCATGGTGGCTGGTGACTAATAATTGGTTCACATGCCATTTGTTCCTTCACAATACTGGAGCCCATGTACACCATCGGTTTGGAATCAGGGTTTTCCAACTCCCCTAGGTGGATCTCTTATATCTACCAACCCGATTAAAGCGCCGAACATTCACTTTTCGTCCTCTCGATTTCGTAAACAGCATCTCCGCTGCGAAAAGGCAGTGAGTAGGACTTCCCTGGGAGTGGTTGTATGCACGTGGCCATATGAGAGTATTTGGCGAGGGAGAGCTAACTCTCACCACTCTTGACCGTACGAGGGCATTTAAGGGCTCACCTTGCCATGTAGAAATTAGTTAGTAGATACAAGTCACAAAATCGAAACCCGTGAAAAAGAAAATAAATATCACAGTAATCTAAATAATACATGAAAACCATTTATGAGCGATTAAGAACTATCCAAATGTAACTAACATGATCTTTTTGTGCAATGTGTTTAGAGGGTGACTATTAAATTTTGAATTAACCTGGGAAATCGAATTGATATGTGTTTGACTGTTGTAGCGCTTAAACTTAATTCTAATGAAGATGTAGTTTTTTTCAGGTGTAGTGTTCAGGAACAGTGTCACAAAGTTGTACATGTTAGTGACATCTCAAAGTCCTTCAAAATAACCAACGGACAGAAAAGATTCAAGCAATTACATATTACCACAGAATTAAAAATGATTTATTCATTCAGTAGGATATTGTTGTCCGTCGTGTACTTCCTTGGTGACTTCATGTTCCAAAGTATAGTTGCTTTACATGTTATGACTAGTTCTCAATTATAAATTCTTACTCTTTACCCTTACGTCTTCTTTCAGTTTCACTCATTTTATTCCTTCAATCACTTCACTTTTGCAACAGAAACTGTGTAAATTTTGCTAACAGTTTTTCAGTAACTTGTCATCACATGTTGCTCCTGATATTGTTTAACATGTGAATATACTACACAACTCTACAACATTTACTACTCTTTCTTGTAATCATCGTTGATAAGAGCTTTCCTGATATTATAATATTGAGTATGCTCGCATTTTATTCTTAAAATAAACTATCCCTCTATTGTTAGGTAATAAGCAGCTGAAGTGAATCAACAAGTTGGATGATTTCACATTATTCTGCTATGATCGTTTTTCACCACTTTTTTCGAAATTATGTACAGATTTACTCGAAATTTGATGACATTTGCTTCCGTACATGTATTTGTGTCGTATATAATGTATCATATCTATATTAGTAACAAATATCCAGCTATTCAACACTATTTGAAATATTGTATTTGAAATAGTCAAAACAACACCTAGTGCCATATGTTCAAAAAGACTTGAGATATATTCGTCGATTAAAAACTGTACGCTAATAGTAACTTATGACACATTTTAATGAATAAAGTAATTGAATTTTATGTTAATTCCATGAGCCTCAGTTAAGTTGACTCTTGAGGAGTGTTGTTGACATATTTATGAAAAATCATGTTGTCCTTGTGTTCATTGCATAGAAACAATTGAGATATTCAACAAAACCAAAATCGACTTTGATAATTGAAACTGACGATCTAGAAAAATACATTAAACCTTTATGTATAAACAAGCCGTCGTTTAGTAAAATTGAACAGCATTAATTTCCTTTATGTTGGTAGTAGACAACTTTTTTTAGAATATAATCTTGTGAAGTTTCCTATTTCCGAACTTAAATTTCTGTGAGTTACATTTATTTGAACTGACATCAACTGAAGGATAACTGAAAACCAGTAGACATTGGAAAGTTGCTTTGTCGCAACAATAGTAACTAATGGTGTCAATTTTCTAAATATGATACTCAATTTCTCATACAACTCCATGAGAAACTGGTTCGCTTAACTTCCACTTATATTTCATTAACTTCCATTTTCAGAGACAGACTAGTTTCAGGCCTTAAGTAATATCATCAACGAAATTAATCAATGTTAATTGAATACTTTAAATGATCACTAACATAAAGTTTACAATGACCAGAAAGCAGACGTTAAATAGCAGTAATACAATTTCGCTGAATAAAATAATTTATTTATGCAAATGAATTAAAGATACACGAAATAATTAACTCTGTTCTAAATATAGTATAAAGTATTTGAAAATAGTAGGATCACAGAAAAGTTCAGGTAGACAATTCAATTTTCTACATGATGCAATGCATAGAAAGCTCCTTTCATTTCCAGAAGTGCTGCTGGTGGTCCTGACTCTATCTTACGTCCATCCTGTAAAACAACTACCAAATCAGCATTGACGACTGTGGACAGGCGATGAGCAACAACTAATGATGTTCTCGACCCCATAGCAGCGTCAAGGGCTTCTTGAACTATCCGCTCACTCTCATTGTCCAAAGCTGAAGTAGCTTCATCCAACACAAGTAAAACAGGTTTACGAACTAAAGCTCGTGCAATGGCTATCCTCTGTTTCTGTCCTCCAGATAACTTTGATCCACGTTGTCCAACTTTGGTTTCATATTGCTTAAAAACAGTGGAAGTTGTAAACAGTTATTTAATATATTTGAAAATATTCGTAACAATTCGAATAACATGAAAGCTGACAATACAATGAAAATATAAACCTGAAGCGTAATTTTTAGTGAGTTTAACAAACTGAATATTTTTACTCACTTCTGGAAGTGTTGTAATAAAATCATGGATGTTAGCTGCACGTGCTGCCTCAATAATCTCTTCCATCGTCACTTCTCGACTATTGTCTCCATACGCAATATTCTCTCTTATCGTGAGATCGAATAAAGTTGGTTCTTGTGAAACAAGACCAATCTGTTTTCTAACCCAACTAGGTGCAATATTTCTAATATTCATATCATCAAAAAACACACCACTATCGGGACCGTGATATGATGGATCGTAGAATCTCAATACTAACTGAAGTAATGTTGATTTTCCACACCCAGAAGGTCCAACTAACGCGACTGTTTGACCGGGCACAACTGTATGAGTGAAGTTCTGTGAACGAAAGCGAAACCAATCTAGATAATATTTTTTCATATAAATGGGGTGATAAATAAAAGGCCGTATAAACACAAATTAACCCTGCTATGTCGCATTAAATGTTGAATTGCAGTATAACAATGAAATGCGATTTCATATCAAATTAGCATCATGCATAATGTCTCCATTTAGGAGAGTTGTATTTTTAAATAAGAAAGAAAGATTAGTTCAGCGAAGAGTTCTCTTTTCGGCGAATTCATTTTCAAAGCTGTACAATCGCAAATATATATACTTCTTTTTACAGGGTGATAATAATAATACTGATAATAAACTTCTGTTATACATGGTGACAGTGAGGTTAAATAAACAAAGGTATTAGAAATAAAATTTTTTTTTTAAACAAGGAAAGTTTGATAGTTAATGGCTTAGATATTCATCGGGTAAGAGTAGCTCAGCATGATAAAATAACATAAGATGTTGAAACAGAGATGAAATGTAATCGGAATGATCGTTGAAATAAAAACAAACCGGTTGGGGGTACAAGATTTGAAGGGAAGATGGAAGGTGAAGCAGGTGGCTGTAAAAGAACAAGAGTATGAAGAAAGAGAAAAAAAATTTTAATACATTAAGACCATGGTAAAAGAAGAGGTTGTACCAGTCTCTTTTGTACACATAATTCTGGTTTTTCAAAATGTATGGCTATTGCTTCGGCAATGCGAAGAAGATGCAGTCTAATTGTCGTAGGAAGGCTTCTACTTACCTTGTAGATGACTTTGAACGCAGAGTCTGTCTCGATTGAGTGACCTGTGTTCACAAGGTGTTCGATTATAGAACTTCTTATTGAGCCGTTGCCTCCTCTTCTTAGCCACGCCGGACAATGTTCTTGAATTCTTTTGGATAAAGTACGCATCGAACAACCTATATACCTAGCTCCACAAGAGCAGGTAAATTGGTAGATGCACATTAAGTTGGTCAGATGCGATAATTTATCTTTCAGATTATTGGTGAACAGTGATCGGCTGGAGAATAATATCAGCAATGTTGCTGCGAAGAATGTTCTTTTTAAAGAATTTGAAATTCTCCTCTTTAAGATATATGCGGCTCTATCACCTTTGAAGTCGATGTTCATGTATAAAATTTTCTTTTCTACTGCAGTTGTTTGTGGTTGTATTTTTAACTGTTCTGAATTACTTGGAGTTTGCGCTATTATTTCACTGAATTTATCTGTCTTTTAAATTATTATTTACTGATTGAAATAAATTGTTTCAAGACTGTGCCTGCAAATGTATAATTTCATGAAAATGTCCTCTTTTCATACAGAATTCTATCATCATTTCAAATAAACATCATACCTAGCACAATTGTAGATTTGTGAGTATATTTAAATATTCGCAAGTTTTTAAAGGTTACACCATTATTTCACTTAATTTACCTGATCCTTTTTTCAAATTACGCTGTATTTTTATAAATATAAAGGTTTCAAGACTGTGTTTGTGCACTTTTACTGTCGTAAAAACGCAAACTGTCGATGCAGAACTCTATGATTGACTCAAATAAACAACTAACTTCTGTATAATTTCAAATTCTCCTTTTTAACAAATCACCTTTTGTGAGTATACATTCTGTTACTCTGGTGAATTAAGTGAGACTTACACAGAGTATAATGAGATCAGAGTGAAAATTTTTCATTCTTCAAAATTTTATTTTATCAGTTTACCTTTAAAATCCGGCCCTCAGATCGACAAGAGTATTTAAAATAAACGCGATTGAAAGAAACTTTCCCTCTGAATGATTCTGATGGTACAATTCCCACGTTAGCTGGAATGAGGGATTGTCTGTCTAAAAGTGCTAGAATGCTTTTCGCTGCAGGCTTTGATTCTCTTGCATCCATAACTAACGTAGCAGAACGACCAAGTGACTGTGCACTCATGCTGATGGTTGCAAAAACTCTATTAAAATTCGAAATATTTAAAAAGTGAAAATTGACAAGGCTTGCCATGCTTTCTTATTAGAAGTCAAAAAATCAACATTAATCTTCACAACAAAATAGTCATTTTGCGTAAAAACTGTCCTGAAAAGAGTGAAGTACTCAGAACTGCTATTTATTACATACAGTAGTATCATGTGAGTTGATTAATTAATCAATTACAGCCAATATCGTATTTTTTAATCCTTACACCGTGAAAATTCTATCTATTGAGTTACGACGTTGCTAATAAAATAACTGAATCAGTATCGCAGTACCTTGTATTTGATGTAAATTGTTAGGAAACCCAGATGTTAGATTTTGATAACGAAGTTATCAAAGCACAGTAATAGGATAATGGTTACTTCAGAAATGTTAAATAATGTATACATCGGATTTCGTTACGAGGAAAATTGCTTTTCAGAATATCACCAGTGACATCCATGACTGTAGTACTCGATGCATTAAGCTTGAATACATCATGGGACCTCATTTCCTTTAATACTTCAGGTACGAAATGCTAAAAAAGTGTTAACTAAGATGAAACCACTGTTTATGGTTGTATTCTAATTGCCTAGAAACATCTAATATTAAATCTTAATGTATATAAGGGCATTTTTACGGTACACCTTATATACCATCAATGTGAAGTTTTACATTGCATTCTTATTTGCAAATGATCCAGCTGGGAATAAAAAAATTGGTGGAAAGTCCGATTCACCTTTCGATTTATCAAATGATCAAAGTTCTTTACATTTGAAATCTAACATCCTGAAGTAACAACCACTCGGCATTTATAAACCGATGTTTATGAAATTTGATCATTATACCGACAGAAGTGAGAAGTCATATTAATGAGTCAACAGTTTTGGCTTTTCAAAGTACTAAAACAGTGTCTTCTGTAGTGCTTTTTCCTAACGGTGTATTGATTATTTTACTAATATAATAAAAAAAATGAGGATTGATGTACTGTTCTGAAGCATTCCCTTATAAATTAAGCTTCTATGTAAATCATTTTTCACTCATACTACAGTTCAATAGAAAAAATATCGTTTAGTCCACTTCCTGTTGCAAGTTGAAATTCACAGTTCTAGTAAAACTGATTAAATTTATGAACCAACAACAGTTTCGTATTTCTAATTATTACTTGCTAAAAATGAGTAAGGAAACTAAGAGCGAGTAGGAAGCTTTCATCGGCTAATCCTATCAAGAATACATGTACAACACATTCATTAACATAGATGCGATAGAATATGATATTTCTTTAGAGAGTAAAGCCAAATCTTGTCCAGTAGCATAGTGGAAAATTGTCCACTTGTCTTTATATGCTGTTATACCAGCTATGATGTACTGGGAATCAATCAATCGATAGATAATTAATATCTCGTTACAGTAAGAAATTTACCTGAATACTGCGACTACTGTTATAACATTTGTTGAAACCAAATATGCACCTAGAGCGAATGCTGCTGCAAACGAAAACATTGGCACACCCTCAGCGAGTGCATAAACCAAAGAGTAAAACAGAATTTTTTTGGTTCTTTTTCTAGCAGATTTATGAAAAAAAAAATTAAATTTCGATTTATAAAAAGATAAAAGTTTTAACACTTTGTCATTTATATTCTTGAATAGAGTTATAAATAGTTTTAGAAGTCAATCACATAAATATTGTAACACCCGGTTAATTACAGAAAAAGAGGTTTCGTAAAAGGTGTAAAATTAAATTTCATTATTATTATTAATGGCTTTATTCAATATTATATTTTTGGTACAATGTGGAATTCTCAGTTCAAAGTATTTCAACAAGTCTCTTTTACAAAAGAAAAAGAATTAACTGATAACTGAATATATATATATATATATATATATATATATATATATATAAACTACCCAGAATACAAGTTATTAACTAGGGCAATAACAATCTGTTCGTCACATAATATACTTGCTAGATAAGGAATTGTGGACCTTTTGTACATTTGCTTACGTTCATAAATTCTAATGCATTGACGTCTCGTTCTTTCAGAAGATATACAAGAAGAGAGATATGTTAAATAGAGCGAGAACAAAGATTGGTGCAGAATAATATGAATTCATTTTATTTCGTTAGGTCCTCATCAGTTGCTTACAACCTAAATTATTTTAAATTCAAAATTATTACAGATAATGACATATTTATACATAAGAGTGTGATTAAGGATAAATGAGTGAATCATGGTGTAGCGAAGATTTCGATAGAGTTAATGAGGCCATAAAATTTTGTCTCGAATAAATAGAGTTTCAGAGGGAAAGTTCCGGAACATTGAAATAGTGATTAGAACTCATGAAAATAGGTTAATAGTAATAAAGAAAATATGGATTGAAATCAGTCAGTTATGTATGATGTAATTTAAAAGAGTTGGAGTAATGACTCAATAAATAAATAGAGAAATAAATGAATAAAAGTGGGGGGTTATTGTTACTAAGGTAAAGAAAGATTTATTATTGTCTCTTTTTGTATACATAGATCTGGTTTCAGATGTTTGATTGTTATTGCTTCGGCAAATTTCAAGAGGTTGGAGTTTGGTTGTTTGTTAATCAACTTGAAGGATTTTAGTATATCAACTTCATGTCCTGTATCAAGGAGATGTCTTGCGATGGCACTGCTGGATGCTTTTAATCCATTTAATCTTAAACTTTTCGGAATATGTTCTTTGAATCGGACGTAGGCTCTCCTTTTTGTTGTACCAATGTAACTGCTTTGCCAGATACATGTGAATTTGTATACACAGTTGGTGGAAACATGAAAGGGATACCTGTCGACCTTTGATTGTGTCAAAGAACATGTGGTTTTGGACAGGACAATCAATTTTGCTGCAGGGAAAGTTCTTGAATGAAGTGGATGATCAGCATCTTGTAAGATAATACCTGCTAAGAGTTTGAAAAATTTTAGACGTCTGCCAACAACAATATTAATAATGACCCTGATGATTTACCACATACCCTTTCAAATACTTTCAAAACTCTCCGCAATACAGCAAAGTCTTTTCGCATAATCACGGGAAATAACGATTAAGAATAGTTAAGAATTATAGGTAATATTCAAGAATTAGCTAATCTTAAAAGTAAAGGTTGAGTAGTCGCAAAAGCATTCACCCTCTATATGCAGTAAGTCAGATGGGAAACTTTCTTCGATAACACCAAATTATGAGAATACAAAGAGAGATCAGAGGAAGACCTTACAACGAGAAGAGTGATCTTTGACTCTGTGTTTATCAAACAATTTCCAAAAGCACAAGCTTCATGGAATTCCAACAGGGTGTTTAAGTGCTATTCGTTTCTCAGGTTAAAGTTGACAGTATGAAATTTAGAAGGATTAATTGGGAGACCATTAGCAACAGACCATCGTTCAATAAGAGACAAGAATTCATTCATTTCAAGGTGGTGTGAAGAGGTAGAAATCAGCATACATACAGTGAGATCGTTCACACATTTCACAAAAGTGTTTTCTGTGGAAGATAGCAGATCATGAAGAGAGAAGAGAAAAGAAGACGGGAATAAACAGTTCCTTGTGGCACAATTTCATGAGTCAGTAGAGATTTTGAAGGCTTTCTTTCAAACACACTGATGTCTGAAAATGTCCCAAGTCACTTAACTCGTCCGAATGTTTGGGACCTGGAGAAATCCTAAACTTTGTTTTTTGAGAAAAAACTAACATACTGTGTTATCCATTCACATCTTCAACAAATCCTTATCCTTTTCGTTAATAAATGTCAGACTTGAAACCAAGTATGATACTTCTAAAATCCTAGTTCCATGATGACAACAGTGGATTTTGAAAGATAACAACCGACATACTACTACTTTATGTGTGCGACACTATTTATGAATTCTAAATAAACTCAAACGATAACTTGTATATTTCATGGAAATACAAACTTAACTTCAATGTCTAACGTCCATGTCATCAAACTCATAAATAAAAGTATTGTTAGTGTCTAAATGTATCTTTGTGATGTTTATCATTTGACTGAAAATAATTGATCTCACTATACTCTTCTAATGTTCATAACACTGACTAAAATATATTTATCCTGATATCTCAGCTTTCGTAATAAGTCAGTGTTTTAATTATCCAGATGCCCTTGTCAGTATTTTGGATAAATAACCAGAATCGTCTGATGCACATTCACCAGTATGTAGAATTCTAAGTAGAAACATTCATGACTCGTAAAAAAGAAATAGAGATTTTATTTAAATATCTAAAACTAGTCAGTAGTTTAAAGTTTCGATCTCATTATGCTCAATCACCGTTATAATTTAGTTGAGTAGTAGATCTAACCAACAAATCTCTATGTGATAGTAACAAGGTTGATTTCGTAGGTATATTACATTCGTTCACATTAATCAGTCGTAGACGTTTAGTCAATCTGTACAGTATCCTAACTGGACAAATTGAAAAAAAAAACATTAAAGTACTTGAGCTACAAACTTTAAAAAAATACGAAACATTTTCCTACCAAAATTATTGTTTAAATGTATGAAATTGATTAACATCTAAGAAAACTCAGAACGATTAAAAAGTATAATATCACTGATAATTCAAAGTTCAATTTCAAATAAAAGACTAAATTATATACCAATGTCAGTGGTGTTTACTGTAACTGCAAAGAATAGGTAGTTCATCTAACATGTGGCAGTCATTACTCTCAAATTATTTTGATGTATAAGAATAGCTACATAGCAATGTTATATGATAAATATGAGTGATCATGATCCTTAAACATGATGAATCATCAGCTCAAAATAATTACTTTACATATTGAACTACATAAATGCATAACTTCTATGTACAGTCAAAATTTCAAGTAACCAGTAATTTGTTTCTATCATATTATTTGAACTTATTAATAACAGTCTGTAAAACATTGTCTTAACTGTTGCTAACTTAATAATAATTTGATAAATGATAGAAAAGTATTCCACATGCCGACTTTACATTCCATTGTAAATTTAATTGCGATATGTGAACTATCGAAGAGAAACAAAAAAGTAAACCACTAGTAGTCAGTCTTCAAAAACAATGTCGTTGCTATCAACATTTATGAACTAAGGTGTTACTCTATTACTTGACCTATTAAACTTGGAACTTGTTTTTTACTTGTCCCATTTTGCATTTCAGAACCCCATCAGTAATATAGCTTTAGGGTTATTTTTACTAAAATAAAATATACAAAGTATTTTACTAGAATTTAATATACAACTACTATAACTGTATGAAACTAATGAGAGCTTAACTGAATAAAATAAATAACTTTTATCCAATGATGTTTTGTTGTTCTACATTTCATTAAGTTTACAATCTGAATTCTAAGTCTGTAGTTGGGTATGTATCCAATTTTCGGTTTCTTAGTCATAAGTTATCAACGAATTTTCAAGTTAATTTGCAACAGTTTTAAGTATTAGTTTGTGGGGATTGTTGAGTTTCAGTAACTCATGCGTTTTATTTATTTATTGAAGGCAGAATCTTCTTAGAGTTTGGCTGATGAATTGAAGTTAAGACACAAATCGAAAGATAAATTGTTTGTTCGATTTTAGTATTGTCTACAATGAATATAAAGTATACACAATTCATCTAACCCATGAAAACCGTTACCTGTAACGTACGTTGATGTATAAGGATACCTGTTCAAAATTATCATTAATCTGATAACTATGAATGATTGGAATTCTGAAACATTATGAATTGTCATCTCAACATAATTACTTTACATAATGAGTTGCATAAATGTCTTCTAGTTAACAAGTAAGATTTCATAAAAACCGATATACAACCAAGCCTGCTTGAATATCTGGGCTACCTGTTTCTCCGATCTAGATATTTCATCAAGTTATCTGTTTTGTTGTTTGTTTTAGCACATCATTATGTCTATTGTGCGCACAATTTATTCAGGCAAGTTTATGAAAAGTTTACAACCTTTCGCTATATGTGATACAAAAATGTACAATCAGCGACATCATGGTGGCTGGCAATATGCATTGAAACGAATGAACATCAATCAAATGTGGATTACCGAACTCGTAACATCTAACTAGTCATCATTCAAAATTTATCGTCACAATCGATCAAGATATAAGAAAAGGAAACTTGTTGAAATACTTTATGCTGAGAATTCTATGTTGTACTAAAAATATAATGTTGAATAAAGCTTCTAATAATAATAATAATAATAAATCAGTTATGTTTAATCATGCTAGTCATCGGTGTACAGTCAACTAACAAAAATTGTGAATTTTAAATGATCAATTATTTGTTTTATTATACTGGAAAATGTAGACAATAAGCATTAGCAATGACTCAATTAAATAACAAACATGGAAATGCTTTTTTTAAAGTGATTTATTTCATATATACAATAGGAAAACGTGTTTGAAACTTCTTTGCCACTATGAACATAGTTATGTTGAAAGAATTTCCTATACTTTGTTGTTTAAAATCTTACCGATCATCTTCAGTTTAATCATTGCATTAATTTTGTCTCACTTGTATAATCTGAATTTGTAGTCACTTCTAATTAATGAAATTCACAATACATATTGATAGAACTAGATTTCACACAATACCATTTATCTATTATTATTTTATTTTGGAATCCCATATATTTCTATGAACGTAAACTGTTTTAAGTTGATGAGAAGATATGAAAATAGTTTGAAATTTATAACTTACAAATCATATTGCATTTGATCTACTCAAAGCTTTCAATGGAACTAAAGTTGTTTAAGTTGACTTGTTAAATGTACATCATATACAGTGAAACGAAATCGGAACATTTTTTTCTCTGTATTTCATGCAATAACGATATTCCTACTAAAAGTAATTTGAATCAGACCTATTAATCAAATAAATAGTTAGTGATTTTTCTGTCTGAGACATAGTTTCGTCTATGAGCTTTTTGATATTATTATTTGAATGACTGCTAAATTAGATGGAATTCAACCTAACATCTATAGTTTAAAGCAGAGTACTTTACTCAGTAAGACACTGTCCCCGATTTCTAAACAACGTTTAGTCTTCAAAGAAGATTAAGATATGTGCACTATATTTTGAACGTTAATGTTAATGATCGTTTAAGCTTAACTTTGTTTATCCAAGTTGAAAAATAACTACTGACAACTTCAAGTTTTAATACTGTTTAATTGATAAAGTAATCAAAATAGTTTAGTTATATTGATATCAAATAGTTAACACCTTATACCTCTCAAATTTGCAATAACTTAAAACATACTAAATCATTAGATGGATAACTCTCAAAACACCATTTAAATTGTGTGATTCAATATTATCAATGGAATAATATGAATATGTTGGAAAAAGAACTACTATTAATCTCAAACATATTTTATAGTGTTAATTAATCTGGAAAAAAAATTACTGGATCGATTTTTCGAAATCTAAGAATATACACAACACTCTTCCTCTACTTCATGTAAAATATGATTCTTTTTGTAGGTCTATATTATAATTACCGTTTAATATTGATAAATTCACTAACTATCAAATGTGTGTTTAAATAATCACACACACACACACACACACAAAACTGATATTGTCATAACATTTAACTTGTAGTCAGCGGTAGTCGGTTAAAAACTGTTTTTTTTCCTTCTTCTTCAAATTCGAATCCGATTGTAAACTAGACAATCTTTTGATGGTTAGAGAATAATTATTTATTCAATATAATCTTCTTTTGTTTAAATGAATCAGTGCAAGATAATGTAAAATAGGCTGTTCAGTTGAAAAAATAAATTGTTTATACTATTGTACTGGATATGTATAATGCTGTGTATTCACTAATAAATAAGTAACAATAACATGATATCATGTTGTACAACTAGAAAAGTGTTTTGGATACTTGTTTTTGGTAAAACAATTGTAAAATTGGTAATTATTATTTAAAACCTCATTTTTATGTATTTGCATTTCATTCAGATTGTATTCGCTGTTTGATTAACCAAAAAAAACCATAAGTTTGTATTTTGAATAGAAAGTATTGGTTTTATAAACAAAACATGTAAAGACGAAACAAATTATTTTTTAGACTCACTTTTGATTTTCAGAAGCATAAGATTTAAAACGTTTGAAAAAGTATTCCTCTAAGGTATGTGTAGTTACAGTACGATTTGAGCCGATTGCTTCTTGAGCTACTCGCATTGATTCAGTGTCATTTCTACTCTTACCTTTTCCTGACATTGAACGCATCTAAATGTCGGACAAGAAGTAATAAAAAAACTCACTCGCTCTAAACACTCAAAATATCGTTATTTCATATAATTGAAAGGGTTGCATTTTTTACGACCAAATCAACAGCAAATAAATAAACTATTTCTTAGTTTGAAGTAACGGGTTTATATTTGCTATCACAATTACTATGACTACTTTGTTATTCGTTACGTTAGTTTCATTTCTATATATAGGTGCGATAATGTTAACTTAACTGTGTCACTTTCAACACTGTGACTGACTGACTAAATAATTTATATAACTAAAACATTACCTAATCAAAGTCCTACAAAATCTTTGACCTTATTTTAATGCAACCATTTTAAGAATATGTATCTCAATAATGGTTAAAACGATTTAGTATTTAAAAATAAAAATCCAGTTTAAGAAATTACTGTGAAATAAATTTTGTTACCTGTAAATATCCACCAATGACGATAATCGGATAAAATGCTAACACAACCAAAGTTAACTGCCAACTGTAAATGAATGCTATCACAAGTGACATAATTATCAGTGCTAAAGCTTCTATAATAAAACCCAGTTGTGCACCAGAAATCATTGACATTTTTGTTGCATCTGTAGCAAGTTTAGCTGTCAGTGCACCTGCTTGATTTTCTGGTTCATCAAACCATGCAATTTCCTAAATTGTTTTAAATAATGGAATATTTGTAAAATGTTTTTATGTAAGTTTATTATTAAAAATAAAAATCCCTATCAAGTTGTTTTCAACTTACTTGACGTAGCATAGCTTCAAAAACCATAGAACGTATACGTTTGATTAGTTTTTCACCTGATTTCCCAAAAAGAAATCCCTAAAATAAAAATTAAATGATAAATTAATGAATTTAAGTATTGCTTATTTTCTATAGTAGAATATCAAAACAGTTTCCTAAAAATAAACGAGAAAATATTTAATGATCTGAATTATTTATGGTAGTTATTAATTATATAATATACCCTTGTGTGCCAGGGTAATTTTACATTGGTTTCCAGGAGAACCAGACACCATCCAGACTTTTATATGACAACCCAAACAGTACAGCTTAATCCCGCTTCACAGAAAAACCAGACACTGTATAGGCTTTTACGCTACAACCTGAATAGTACAGCTCGATCCTGTGGTGCGACCACACAGGTACCAAGCACCCTGGTGGATCAATCATACCTATATAAATTATGTAATTGAAATATTATTATGTCATTTAACGTTAATATCTGACAATCCATTCAACATCGATTCATACATTATTTGAAATGACAAAAAATTGCTAGAAGATAGTTCACCTTGAATATTCGATAAAAATTACTTTCATAAACTGGTAGCATTAAATTTTTTTATAAATCATTATTCTATTGTGAATTATATAAACTTTATTTAATCTCCATGCTCAATAACGCATAAAATTTATCGGATTTTTTTAGACAATAACGGTAAGTTTATTGGTATATATAAGGACGACTTAATCTTATTTCTCCTGGCTAGTTGTCTACATAAAATACTTCGGATCCATTCGTCAGACACTATGAGCAACAACCTACTGTGGGAGAGAACAAACCAGATCTCAGCGGAGGAAGAAATAAGGAAGAGGTGCTCGAAGTGGATAGGACACATATTGAGTAAAGCAACCAACTGCGTCACAAGACAAGCCCTCACATGAAGTCCTCGAGGCCAAAGGAAAAGAGGAAGACCAAAGAACACATTACGCCGAGAAGTGGAGACAGACATGAGAAGAATGAACAAAAATAGGATAGAACTAAAAAGGAAGGCCCAGGACAGTGGGTTGGAGAATGGTGGTCGGCGGCCTATGCTCCATTGTGAGTAACAAGCGTATCTAAGTAACTTAATCTTATAACTGTCATTCTTTTTTTTATTATCATAATTTTATGATAAATTTGTTACAGAAATTATCTTTAAAAATTTATAAATATTTACAGTTGAATTCATGAGTCGATCTAGACTAGATCACTATTAAAAACGTAGAAGCACTTAGTCTTTGGTCTTAACATCTGGACCACTGAGCCGGCATCCGACGGTGTTAATATCTAAATTCAGCCGATCCATGATAATAATCTGATAAAATCATCATGTACTGACTAGTGACTGGCTTCAAGACGTAACTCTTGGAGTTCAGGTGAGAAGCCGTTATTAGTAAAGTTCAGTCTGTATCGGGTAGAGACAGGTAACTACCTCAGACAATGGGTGAAAGGTTGCACAAGATCATGGATTGACTAAAGATAGATATTAACACCACTAGATGTCCACACGGTGGTCTAGGAGCTAAGTTTCAACGAGCGAGACAGAAGGTCCTGGGTTCGAGTAAAGTATGTAGTATCATGGTGAGAAGTCCCATACTAGGACGAAACGATCGTCCAGTGCTTTTACGTTTACAGTGATGGTCTAGCTTAGATCGACTCATGAATTCGACAATTACAATTTCTACAATCTCCACAAACCCCTCATTCTGATAATAATTACAGTTGAATTCATTTATTTGAATGACAACACTTCTAGTTCGTAGTATTATGTTTTTGACAGAAACTTTGACCAATTTGTTATCCTTCATAAGATCAAATTTTTGAATATTCTGTACCACAACGTCTACGAAACGATCTTCATCTATGTAGAGATATAAACATTACAACTTTTAAGAGTTAAATCATCTAATGTCAAACTCGATAAACAAGTTGGAAATTTACATGATATTCGTTTAATCAATTTGTGAAGCTGATTTACCCTTTTATAAAACATTTTTTGTCGAATTTGAATGAACAGATTATAGTTAAGATTTCATTAGCTATTACCTTACTACATAAAGTAACTTCCAATATTTGATTAAACAGTAATACATATTTGACTGAATAATTCAGCAGATACTTCTTGAAATAAGAGAACTATTGGCTAAAGTTGATTCATTTTCGAATATTCTTTGATTTATTTAATGAATTTTATGTTAATTTAAAAGACGCCAAAACGATATGAAAATTTGTTAGAGGACTGGAATTATGAATAAAAATTCTAACTCAATATAAGAAAAGAATAATTAAGTACCTGACAAAGAGAAGCACTGAAACGCAAAACTCCAATTAACACCATCATTCCACTTATAAGACTAATTCGACTGGACATTAAGTCAGGATTTGATCTCAAAGTGAATATCTGAAAAAATTTTTAATTTTTTATAATTAAGATATTTTAAATAAAAATTAATTCTAAGAAGTATATTATAGATTTAAAACACGAGACCAATACGTTTATTCAGTTCATAATCTATATGACTTACTGTAAAGTTGCTAAGTATGTGTGATACACAACTCTGCTTTCATCATTATATCATGAATTTGTGCTTCAACTGCACTGACGGTTAACATTTTATCTTATATTACTCTAAAATTGATCAAATCACGTTGTATGTAAATAAATTTAAATAATCTGAACATCATGAATTTTTCGATTACTCATTTCTTCATCTTTGTTATAATAATTCAATTCACGATGGTAAAAAAAACATAAGTTTCTCAAAAAAAATGTTAGTTATTCCACACATTTTAAGTAATTCTTCGATCTCCGATGCTCAAATAATTTTATTGATTGGTATTCTTAAAAGAAGATTAAATCTTTGACTGACATAAGAATAAAGAACCATTGATTTTGTAAAGTAAGATTACGTGCTTTAATGCAAAAGATTTCGAGATCTCATATCTACATTATCAAGAAGACTCCATCAAAAATAACTATAGCCGCTTACAGTACTTATGTTAACATTCATTAAGATTGTAGTCTAACACATCATAATTATCGATATTAAACGTAACACTTTTTCAACTTAATCTCATTCCAGCCACAATTGCTCACCATAGTAGATGCAGAATGAAAACATTCAATATATAGTCCTGCCACTTTATTTGTGGTAGGGAGATGCTACCATCAATTAATCGGTCCTGCCAATCTAGAAGCACATAAATTTAGCAGTAAACATTCAATTGCTTCATCTAGTGATAGTAATTTACCAAGAACGTCAAAGTTGAAACGCTTATAATCTTAGATTTCGTCCATCGACCACCAGGTTTCATAATATAGAGAAGTATAGAGTGAACTCCTAGACTAAAGATGGTCAAATATCTTGGATTTTCAAATTCAGTTTTCATTATTAAATGAAGACTTAAGTGAATATGTACAAACTATAGCTACGTTAAAACTAATATCTATAGTTGGAGTTTTTCTGATGATTCACTGTTTTCACTTCACGACCGGCTTTTAATTATTTTTCTTTTAAAATGAAGTGACCAAAAGAAATAAAAGGTAAAGATCTATAAGCTTGATGGATAAAAGGACTAGTATAATCGTAAATTAATAAACTATTTACTAATACAAAGACCATTTATGCTATTCGATTTGAAAGTAAGTTTTTGAAATAATACAATGGAACATGTGATAAGTAACATCTGTTATCTTAATCGAGCACACTGAAATATGGAGAGAAAATTATGGAATACTGTTCAAATTTATCATTCCCTGTAAGTATGTGTAAATCAAACTTGAGTTTTTTTCATTACATATTAGTCTCTTGGCAATATAATTAGATGTAATATGATGGAATTTTAGAAACATAACCCGTTGTATGAACCCTATAGTTTTAGAGTAAAAGTATGAAGGGATAAGAAGTCTTAATCATTTTTTGTAAACTGTTTCAACAACCTCCGTGTAGAGTAGATGTGAAATGTTTAATAATGGAATACTGAACGTGCGGTTCTTCATATTTGAGACCTGCTGTCTGGGTCTGTCGGTGTAGGCTCTGGAATGCAGGTACGCCCAACCAATGAGTCTTAAATAAGACGAGCTGGATTACACTACTAGCCACATTCCATCTATTTCACGTAAATATGTTTGGTAGAATGTATATCGAGGTAATCCACAAAAGGTCAGAAACAAACACCCTACATGAAGAGATCAGGAAGTACGGGAGTGAGAGTAGTTAATATGTTTAGTTTACTAAGTAAATGTGCGGTCGAATGAATCATCAAGTGTTTAACCAATTTCCATCTTAATGATAAGAGAAATAAATAAGTAGGCTATCGCGCGCATTCGAATAGGCGTATTTATATGTGCTTGAGGATATATTTGGAATATATATACGCAAGTTATTATGGCTGAAGATGACACTATCTGTTTGCCGAACAGGTTAAGACAAAGGCATAATTAATTTGGTTAATTTGACTAAAGTATATTACTGAGAAGCAAAAGTCTAGGCTTCACCAAAAATCCACCAGTTTGTGTATATGTAAACACAAATACATAGGAAGGTGAAGTAGTGATTCGCATGTGAGGATAACTGATCATATACGAATGTTTGTATGAACGTATGAATTCCATTTGTCTTATGTGAACACAAGATAAATAAACATCTACCTCAACAACGAAACATTTAGTTCAGACGGCTCATAGGATTGATATCAAATCAATGTTGTGGGGTTTATTCTAAGGTTTACTGAAAACTTAGCCATATGAAGATTCAGAATCCTTTCATGTAATCAGTCTGTTATGTAAATTTATCATTCTGCATTCTCCTTATTATCTTTATTTTTTCTTGTCTTCTAGTTTGTATAGTTGACTTTTACTTTTTTATTTACAATAGTCATAATGAGTAAATGTGTGGTCAGACTATTCAAAATAAATCGGCTAAGATATAGTACTGGATAAACGCCATCTTTTCATTGCATTATTTCGATTTTTCAAAGCAAATAACTGTACCAAACTGTATACTATGAACTTACGTCATACACTTCGGTGTATAGAAGTGCAAATGCTGGCTGAGCAGTTCCATTTACCAGACAACAGAAGCAACCTATGATAATTAACGGCAATTCAGGTTTGTTAAGTTGTAAAACTCTTAATGTAGGAGATTTCTTTACTTTTTTCAGCTGTGGAAACAAATAATAAAAGAGACAGTAAACTCGTCATTAATGATTGGCATATCAGTATTTCACAAAATATTTAACCAGAATATATATAAACATTCACATCTAATTAGTCATTAGAAGTTTTATCCCATACACGACAGCAAATGAAGGCGAAGACAGACAATGTAGCAGTAATGTCGGCTGCAGTAGGCGAAAAATGGAACAGGGCGAGCACCAAACCAATCACAGTTGATGGAGAAGCTCTGGAAGAAGTGGAAAGTTTTACATACCAGGACATCATTGATAAATAAAGAGGATCTGATGCAGATGTAAAGGCACGAATTGGCAAAGCAAGGGAAGAATCCCTAAAATTGAAGAACATCATTAACTCAAAATAACTGTCAGCTAATATCAAAGCCATAACTTTCAATAGAAACGTTAAGAGAGCCCTATTGTATGGTGCTGAAACTTGATGTACAGGCATTTATAATCGGCTGTCTACGCAAGATACTCAATATCCGTTGACCTCATAGCATCAGCAGCAACCTACTTTGGCAGAGAACAAATCATCTTCCAGCTCAAGAGAAAATTAGGAAAAGGCGATGCAGGTAAATAAGACATACATTAGGGAAATCTTCAAACTGTACCACCAGTCAAGCCCGAACTTAGTATCCTGAAGACAAAAGGAAAAGAGGCAGACCAAAGTTCTGGCAATCGCAGACAAACATCAAAGGAATGAATAAAAGTTGGAAACAACTGGAAAGGAGAGCCCAGGACAGAGTTGGTTGAAGAATCGTGGTCGGTGGCCTATGCTCTTCATGAGGGGTGACAGTTGTAAGTAAGTAATTACTCGCCAGAAAACTAATATTATACTGATTGATAAGCCGCTGAAAAATATGAAAGATAAATGTAGTTTATTTATGTTTCAGATACTCTGATTTCTTCTAAAAGTTGAATTATATGCTAACAGATGACACTAGCATGTCAGAATGAAATTGTGTTAACTCTAGCAATCTTCGTATTTTGGAAGGTTGATCATATACAAGATTGGGGATTTTTGCAAAATGTGTTGGAACCAGGTGTCCAGCCAGTTGTGGTCAAGTGGCGGCATGTATTTGCAACTATGAGAAATGACAGTTTAAAAGCGATTTGAACTGATGCATATCATTGAAGCATTTATGGACAATACTACTATACTAATCTAAAAAAGGCTATCGAAATGTCTAGCAACTGAATTTCGAACGTAATCAATAGGATTTAATCGGCTACAAGTATTGAAAGCACTAGAGAAGCTATTATCTAATAACTCGCTGAACACCTATTCGTATTTCTTTTCATATCATTCTCGGTAATCTGAAGAAGATAAGAAGAATAGTAAGAAGTAGCTTGATGTGCAGATACTTATTTCGTTCTTGCTATCGACTGAAATTCAACTACAATCATATTATTGCGTACCAAAGAGCACAATATAAAAACTGTAGCTTTATTTAATTCTTCTGACAGATAGTAACTTTCAACTGAAAATAATGCATCTGGTTTTGAACGCAAAATAAAGTGCTCTTTTTAATATGATATTAGCTGTAAGTTATGTTTGATTGTTAAGTGCTCCAAAATTGTCATCAACTGACAAATAAAGCATACTCTGAGTTTACGATTGATTTTTAAAATAAATAGGAAGCAAGACGAAAAATAGAATATCATCTAAGATGTGACTTTAAACATCTATAATCACATAAAACCCTTAGTATCTGTGGGATATTTCAACATGATATTTCTTCAACAAGGTCAATGAATCTTTCGAAAAATTACTGTAAGATATCACTAAATACCCCTTTAGCAACGGATTATTTCAACCAATGAATGAATTGGGTTAAATAATTATTGTGTAATGCTATGGTCATTTTTGAATGCTGAACTGTAAGGACTTATCATTTTTTTGTCTTTACAGTTTTGTAGTCAGTTATAAAGAGACAACTGGTTGGAAGTTATTATTAATTTTATTAAAAAAAATTTATCGTCAAGTTAATTTACACATTAAAATTTGTATTTAAAACATTATGCTTGTCACTGTTCTGTTTGTGGATATAATTATTTGACTTGGGATCCCACAGTGAATGTGGGTAAAAAGAAGTAAAAACTATTGATAAGGCTTTATTTCAACCCGGAAATAAATCAAAATTATGTAAGAATAATTCATGATTTGTATAATTTATTAACAATCAGATTTGTTAAAATTAAGCTGAACAGTATTTAACATTAATTAATTAATTAATTACTATGTAAACACATATTTACAACTTCATAGAATGAAAAATATATAACTAAACATATATAATTAACTGAGATAGTCATACAATTACTTCTACTCAAAATGTAACTGCATGATATAGAAGATTGGAAAAAAAATCAGATTTGTATATTATTCACATTTTAAACTACTAAGTCACTACTTGTCATAACATAAATTAACATAAAAGAAATAATTTACTTTATATTGACCAACATATCCATATGCTCTTGATATACCTAAATAGTGCAAATCATTAATACTTGAGAGTTAAATGGTGGTTATTTGTGATAAGATAGGAAACAGATTAGGGGTATTTTGTAAGCATAACAAATTTTCAAGGAGCGATCTATGAAAGTTTTGAAAGATTTTACTCATCGGAATATATGTTTCAGATTCTAAACATACCTGAGCCCGTGTGATTTGTGATGCTGCAGTAATTGACATACTTCTACGGGGCAACGTTCCAGTACTTTCAGATATGTTCTAAATACATATAAATGTTATGACGTTTATAGTGATTTAAAAAGCATAACTCATAGTGAAACTTCAATATACATTAATAATGTATTTAATTTTGGATATCTTAATTGATTCATCCTTGTCTAAATTTTTTTGTTGATTTACCAGAATTTATTGACCAAATATGAAATTCATTCATGTTCACAATTCTTCAACTATTTACTTTGCTGAAGTGATTTTATTTGATTGAGGTAGTTGAATAGTGTCAAAGCTTTTTTAGTGACCGAATACTGCTGAGGAATTATCACAAAATTGAAAACAATGCAATGGTGACGAAATCCCTCAACATTCTCTTCATGATTAGCCGTACAGACGGCTGATATCTTGACTAGGATTTAAATTAACATTGAAGAATTGAACTTTATTAGGGAGTTGTCACAAATTGACAAATGCTTAGAGATTATTCCTTTGCGGACAAAAATAAACTTCTGTTATCAACATCTTTAAGGTAAGTCATACTCACTAACATAATGAAATCTGGGTCTCATCTTTAGTGACTTAGCAGAAATCAATACTCCATACCTCAATTATTTGTCGCACAGATAGGTCAGTAGGAAGACGGACAGTTTTTTAAAAACATTTTGCTGTTTGTAGGTAGTTACAGTGCTTCCTACTGCTGTAAAGTTAACACACAATTCGAAATGCTTGACTATTAGTGACAAACCATTTGAGGAAACATAGAAACTATTAATCAAAATATAGAATTAGTCAAGTAGTTCTGCCATATTTCTATTTTGATAGGAACGTAATACGTAACTATTCTCTTCCTCTTAAATTACAGGAAAATAAATCAGCTTACGTTTTTCACTGATAATGAAATAGAGTATTTAAGTCCGTGTTTCATGTGCTAAGATTACATGTGTGAACACACAAAGATTTATCTAAATAACTGTCTTAGAATCCTTCGTAACTCAATAGGTATTTAAATCATTTTACGCAGTTAATTCCCCTGATAAACTTTGCAAAGCAAGAACGTCAAGCACTTCGGGATGCAGTGAATTCACTTCACTTTGTGAGCTCTCATTCTTCCACGTTCGCACTGATTTGTAAAGAAATAAAATATTTTACAATGTAATTTTTTGTGTGGTAAAGTCATTTTATTCCAGAGTGAGTAACAATTATAAATGCCTTCCACATTCATATAAGTTCGATTTATTAGTTAAATGGATTAAACGAGAGATTATACAGTAGTCGAGTAAAAGAAACATGTGAGAATTATTATTTTTATGATGGACAGAATGATGAAAGTGATAGTCATTATCGAAGTAATAATGATAATAAACCTAATAATGAATGCAGTAGTTGAAGAGGGTATGAAAAGAAACGGATAACTGAAGAGATAAAACGACAAAGATTGTATTGAATAATGTCCGAATGATAAGACTTTATATGTAATGACTATAATTTTGGAATGAAAACATGATATTGTTATTGTGAATAAATAGAGGTGAGGTCAAACAAACAAAACACATCTCAAGTACTTTAATAATGAGGAAAAACAGTGAAGGGTAGGTTTTCAGCAAAACAATTACCATATCAGTCCCAGATAAACAACAAGTTCCTTTAGTACGTAGAAATTGGGGTCGAGATGATGAATGGAGGATGCTTCTGTTTATCATAGAGTCCTGACATTATTCTATCTATTTATCACCCGGAAGGCGGAAACAGTAGGAATATGTAAAGTATTTATAATTACTTTTACACTAGTGAACTAAATGATTTCACACATCGTACACACCTAATTACATTGCAAAATATTTTATTTATTTATACAAAACAGTGCGTATGTGAAAAAAATTAGAGTACACGAAATGAAATGCATTTAAATAAAATCAATTCTAGCCATCTATTAGTCAAATTAAACAATAAGTAGGAGAATGCGCTAGACTAAAGGAAAGTTTTAAGTTTGCGCAAACCATTTCCACTACATCAGAATTGACATTACAAAGGTTTAAACATTATAAATCTGCTCACTTCTTGATCATCTCCAATTGTCCAGACACCGTCCAATTTCTTCGAAGTCTGTGTCTCATTGTCTAAATTTCCAACCAATTCTTCATCAGATAACTCAGCATCTTCATTTGCACTTTTCTCACTTATTCCCTAAATGACAGTGAAAAAAGGTCTCATTAACACAACATGAATACTTCAACCAGAACAGTGTAAGTGAAATGTAAGCTGCAACACCATTGATAAAATTAATTCAAGACCTGAAAAGCACTCTGTAAACTTAATTAGTAAGTGAAGTTCAGGAATCCAATCCATTGTAGAAAGCTACAGTTATGGTTCATTATTGCCTAAATGTTTTTATGATCTGTAAATTACCATAAGGCTACCAGAAGAAACATTGGTGTAAATGAACATAATTTGCTCTCTAACTTTGTTGACTAAAAGGTCTGTGATATCATTTTGACAGCTAATGAAAATTTTATATATAAACATATTGGTCTAATTTTAAACCAGAGGTATTGGGTTTGAGCCGTGAGTGCGGGATCATGGATGTTCACTGTTGAGGAGTCCTTAACTAGGACGAGATGGCGCTCCAGTGCTTCCAGGTTTTCAATGGTGGTCCAGTTTAGATCAGATCAAGAATTCAGCTATTAAAATTCCCAAAATGTCTTTTGTAAAGAAATCAACCAGTTAAAAATATGTGAAACAACAACAACTCATCACTCATTTTCTTGAGAATACATTTCAGACAATAACTTATAAGTTTATAATGGAATATAAAACAGTCATTTAGGAGGCTGCATAATAAACCGATATTAAAAATATCAAAAGTTTATGTAAATTAATATTCTAAAGGTCAAAATACCTGATTACTAAGCATTGCTGCATAAAGACCGTTTTGAGCCACAAGTTCTTCATGTGTTCCAGACTCTCGAACTACTCCCTTGTCAAGAACGATTATTAAATCTGCGTTACGAACTGTTGTAAGACGATGGGCAACAACCACAACTGTTCTCCCCTTACTCGCTTTGTCCAATGCCACTTGAACTACACGTTCTGATTTTGTGTCAAGAGCTGACGTCGCTTCGTCCAGTAGGAGTAACTTTGGTTTTCTAATCAAAGCTCGGGCAATCGCTATACGTTGCTTCTGACCACCTGACATTCCGCCACCTCGTTCACCAACAAAAGTGTCGTATGTCTGGATTCACAAAATAATATAACATTTCGACTTTTAGTTAAATAGAAAACGTTGCTTATAACAAACAACTTTCAACAATGGGTAGATGACTTACATCCGGAAGTTGCTGAATAAAATCGTGAGCATTAGCAAGCTTCGCAGCTTCTTCTATCTCATCTTGAGTTGCATCAAGTTTTCCTAACCTTATGTTATCACTGATAGTTCCTTCGAAAAGTATCGGTTCTTGTTGTACACAACCTATCTGATTACGATAAGCTTTCAGGTCCAAATTCTTGATATTCTCGTCTTCAATTAGTACCTTAAATGGCAAATATGAAATTAAATTATGAAAACTATAGAAGTATGAAAGTGTATATTAGCATGTGAAAGTTGAACAAAGTGAACAAATGACAAGACTACCAGTTAGCTCTTAACAATTGATGGAAACTTACACAAAATTTTTACTGAATTAGCCTTCAGTTACATTTGAGATTATGAATAGTTATCACTTAAAATTCATCTGATTCTTATCGCTACAACTTATCGTTCCGTTGCATCAACAACACTAAACAACACAGAGATTTAAGAGGTCATTTGGGTTATTCTAGCATAGATATAACTCAGCCATACTTTCTGTAAGAATTCAAACACATCCACTGACACAAGGTTGATCTGTACAGAACACCTCGGGAAAAACATACCTCGCCGCTCACAGGATCATAAAATCTTTGCAGCATGTGAATAATGGTGCTTTTTCCTGAACCACTGGGTCCAACCAAAGCTATAGTTTGTCCACTTTTGATCGTCAGACTAAAATCCTGTAAAATCTACAAAGTAGAAAAAAGGTATCAATATAGGAAATATAGTAGTAAATCAAATGTTCAACTTTATTTTAAACACATAACGTTACGAGATTAATGTTTCTCTCTCTACAATTCTATATGGGTTCGTCACTAACCAGAATTGAATCTATCAATAATACAAAAATCCGAAATTTCTCTGTGAACGATAGCATCTACAAATAGATCTCCGTGTAAATTTAACTGCATAACAATTTAGCGGACAAATCAGGCGATCAGATGATGTACACACTTAATGTAATTGTGATTTAGGTGAAAATCTTATAGAGAAGCGCATTAGTGAATTTATGTTTGAATCTATTTCCTGAGACTAAAAATTGTCATAGCATGCGGAAAATTAAATTTTTAACGGCTTTCTCGTTTTGCGAGAATTTACTTCACAATGATTCTGTGAACTATGGTAATGATGGATAATAGGAAGAATTCTGATTTACTTACAGTAATATCTGGTCTGCTTGGATATACGAAAGAAACATTTTTGAACTCAACATTTCCAGAAAAGTTTGGAACGAGATTTCCATGTCGGTCTTTATCAATTTGAGGGATCTAAAACAAGAACAATAGCTATAAAGTAGTTATTGGTTTTTTAACAAGTAACAAATTCAATCCGAAGTTCAGTTGTTTGATTTCCAGCAGTAAATTATGTAATAAACGCTTCAACTCAAATCTCAAATTTTAATTCATACATGAGGTAGTAGTAGCAATATATGAGTAATGAGTTGACTTGCTGTTTCAACAAGGTTCAGAGAAAAATCTATCCTCCTCTCCACATTTCATGACACAATTTTTTAGAACCAGAGTTTCATAAAGCCTGTTCAGGAAGATAGACTTTATTACTAGTTAGTTATACACAGTCAGTGGAATTTAAACATTTGCAACAAGTTTTTCATTCTAACATATTTACAATATTCAAGTTATGACTGTGTGATTATTTACTGCTCCTTAATAAGTTGTGATTTCTTCGGAAAAACTGATAAAATTCCCTAAAAATCGATTAAAAAATTTGAACTGTTCGAAACTACTAACTCCATTTCAATCAGAATCCTGAAAATAAATTTACTGTGGTATCACCGAAATTTTTACATATTGTACGTTGAGTCAAAAAAAAGAAACAAAATTTCCCCAAAAAATTGGGTGGATTTTTGACTGAATTTGTCGACCCAAATTCATTGTCTTTAACAGCATATTAAAACCTGGCACATGTGTACATTGGTTCAAGTTGCTGTATCCCATTGGTATAGTGAGTTGGAATTGTCAGGGTAAATCCCTGAATAGTAGAAGTAGTAACAGTATTAGTAGTAATAGAAAAGATTAGATGTTCAAGGTACGATTCAAGAAAACATAAATTAGTGAAATAAGACTATGAGGAATTTAGGGACTAAAAATCAAGAGGAAGATCAGGGTTAAATAAACCTGCACTTCTAGAAGCAATTTTGAGCCATGTCCCCCAAAGTCTCTAATCATTGGTCTCGATAATTATGCGGACCCCAAGCAGATAGCCTACACCTACCTACATACTTCAGTCCTATCCCCAATGACAATACAGACTGATGTCACGTCTTTGTTTAGCTGCTCCTAGTTTTCTTCTAACTTACTCTTACATCACACATCACTGGTCGAGGTAGGAGGTGAATATGCATACGTAACCCATGTCTCAACCACCTCAGTTGAGATCGATTTACTATCTTATCAGTCTTAGGTTTGCTTTTCACGAGCTCCAGTTGAAGTTCTGAGTATTATTGAAGCTAATATTTTAGACAGCATACTAATCAAACTGATTCCTCTTCGATTGTCACAAGATGATCGTTTTATTTCATCGTAAATGAGGACGATTAGCGATCGAGACCACCCAGATGAGATCGCATCCAGTTTTCAAATTCTGTCTACGATCTAGGTTGATGTAACTGCTAAAACTGGACCGCCATCCTTAGAGATTCGCGGAATGAGTCCATCTAGATCTCTTTCTCTCCCTCCCCTTAGATTCCGTTCATTCTTGTCAACTTCACTAAGAGTTAGATGATTTATGTCAATTTGCCATTCAGGTTGTTTGAATATAGTAGGTAACTGATATGTGGCAGAAGGTCAGTTGAACTTTCCCCTTAATTGCTCTGCTCATCGATACAGTCTCGCGGACTGACAAGGAATTATAGTCCTATCTTTTTTGAAAAAAATCACAATGACAGCAGGATTCCTAAAACTTGTTTTCTTGATAGGTCTAAACAGTTTTCTACTGTTACCTTCAGCCCCTAATATTTCTCTCACTTTTGTTTTCGCTGCTCATCACTGTTCAAAATCACTGCATAGGCTTTTTATTAACTTGTGTTACAGCTAATTCCACTTCTCATTGTGTTTTGAACTACATGGAATGAATTTAGGGACATCTATCAGTTCAGTATACGCTGCTGAAATCCACTGATTTCTCATCACCTTTTGGTTTAAGTTACTGACAGATGTCACTGCTGTTTCCATAGCTGTTTGGATGGCATTTCAAGCTACTTTGGGGTGGATATCAATCAGATGATTGAATGTATGCATGTACAACGAAGAGGCGACGGTGTGTACGGTATGCACGGGACTATCTACTAAAATATAGTCCAGAAGAGTCTCTTCCGCCCTTGAGTTTAGTGTTATATCAACACTAGTGGGGTCGCTGGAAGTGGCAGGAGGGTCCTAGATACACAGAGTGTAAGTCGCGCTGGTTCTTTATATTGACAAAGTGAGATCAAATGAATAACCATACTTGGATCGAGAAAGCGAAATCTTAGAGTCCTTTCAAGATAAGGGAGCTTGTCGACCTATATGACACAAGGTTCAAAATTGAGAACAGAAACATGTAGTTTAGTGCGTGGTTTTAAGAAACCAGGAATAACATTCGATGAACTGAAATCACTAGCATTATTGACGCTTAGCGATAAAAATATACGGGGGTGGGGCTAGTTGCGAAGATTTGAGAATTATTAGAAAATGAGGAAGCAATTTGATCGTGAACACGATCCTCTCGAGTGATGTCAGTGGTAATGAGAGCAAGTGTCAAATTCAACTGCCCACTCCATGAAAAGTATTCCCTCCTCAGGGACCTGAAACGAAAATAGGGTTAGCAGTGGTTTTAGTTGTCTGGGAACGTGAACCCAGAGTCCAAGAGACAACTGATTGAGGTTGATCACGCATGGTCTTTTATTGGAAAGCTTTCAATATACTTGCTCCGTACATTGAAGGCCCTTTCCATCGGAGACAGGAACCCGTGGAGATAGGCGAGGTGTGAAATTTTTAGGGTCGAACTTCCCTAACCTTTTCCTCTTTTTGTGCGAAGAAAGAATGGCTACAGGTGCTGGTTGTCTGAGGGAAATACCTTACCGCACTCACACCCTTCTACAGTCAGCAGTACAACTTCGTTCTCGGTCTTTAATTTGAAACTTTTAGTTTCTATTGTTCTTCAACTAACCTTCCTGGCAAGAGAGGACCTAAAATAAGATGTGCTCCAGCCAGTATATCCCGGTCGAGTCATCACGATAGTCAAGCCCAATTATTACGTCAGGGTAACAGCTATAGTTAGGATAGTTAAAATTATAATCTTGATTCATAAAGGCTAGGGGACATAACTGATTAATGTGCACGCTAGATTTTTTCTAGCAAATGTTCAACATGATGATCTTTATCTCAGAACCTATTTTTTAGTTATTAATTTGGCCTTGAAATTTTGAGTGGTTTGATCATAACAGCTTTGTAAGAAAGGTTGTAAAACAAACTCACACGCTCAATAGTACCATAAATTTCAGAGGCTGATGCCTGTGCGTTCATGAAATATTGAAAACTTGGTAGAGCGTTGCCCAGAAAAATACTTCCCAAGAGAACATTTATGAATACCTGGAAAAGCAAAATAATTAAAAAGTGACAACTAATAATGATCTTCTTTGAAATCACTATTTCATCAGTAATGAAAATGTACATACAATAAACATTCGAAACGTCATTTTAAATATGTATTTCTATTTCATTCATAAATTGTTTCCAAAAGCTTTCACCAATTGAACTCACACTAAAGTGTGTGCTGAAACCCACCATCAAACAATTTTCATTATATGATGTGCCTTGTATTCTTTCTAATATCGGCTACGAATCTAATCAACTAAAGAAGGAATAGAGCAATCCATGCTATTGTTAGAATATTCTTCTTCTAATCTAAATTAGATCAAGTAATAATATCATTTGTATAGAAATATGGTTAGCTGTTTCAATGAGGTACTTCCATTTCAAACACTCATTGTTTACTTTTGACCAATTCGAGTCATTGAATTTAGATTTATCATACTATACAGATAAATCTAACGGATAATAAAATATGTTATGGTGAAGATAGTTGTCCACTTGATACCTATTACGAACAGAATAATTACAAGTTAAGATAACGGCTACTTACTGGTTATGAAAGATAATTGGGAACAATGGGGAAATGATAGACAGAAAGGAAGTTTAAGAGCATCATATTTGAGCCCAAAAAAGCATGCTGGTATAGGTGGAAAAATCTCTAATAAATTTTATTAAAGCTAGGAAAATGAGCATAATAGAAGAACATAAATATATTTTAATCAGACAGAGGGGTTTTGTGGATATTATAGTAATTTAATATTTTAAATTCATAAGTCAATTGAAGCTAGACCGCCATGAAAAACCTGGACGGTGGCGCAACTTCGTGGATTGTTTGAAGTTAGACATTAACACCGTTGGATGCCGGCTCAGTGGTCTAGTGGTTAAGCGATCGCACGGGAGACTGATAGGTCCTGGGTTCGAATTTCGCAAGGCGGGATCGTGGATGCACACTGCTGAGGCGTCTTACACTAGGATAAAACGGCCGCCCAGTGCGTTCAAGTTTTCCATGATGTTCTAGCTTCAATTGACTCATGAATTCAACTATTAAAATAAATATATTTATTCAGTAAATTCTCTTCAGCTGCTTATCACTTGAAAACAATAGCATTAGTCATTCTATAAAAACCGACAAACGATATACATATTTTATAATTGAAAAGTTTTCATCAGATTAATAGATGTAGATTAATCAATGATAATAATTGTGAAAGAAACAGACACTATTCCAACGGTTATTTATTTACGAGTTAAATATGTAAATTGTTTTGAAAATTAAACTGAAAAGAGCAAACAAACAGAATTTTTAGAATTGAAAGATCATTGTCACAGTTTACATAGCACCATAAATAAGAAATAGTAGAATCAACCCACTAAATGAAGATCAGATAAGAAACAATACATGAGAAATTATACTCAGTGTTATGAAAAACATTTTTTGTATCAAGCACTTGTAACTGTGGTGATCAAAGAAAAGCAAGATTGATAACTGGTTTTTTTGAATGTATAGTTTTGATTTAAATACTTTTATATCAGCTACTAAAGCAAAATGAAACAAATTGTATTTTTTTTTAGTTATTGACTATTTTGAAAGCTTTGAGACATCATTCACCGTCAGATAAATAGCGAAAAATCGTGCTAATAAAAACATCCCTTTCTTTTAGTCTCAGTCTTTGTGGTATGTGGTCAAATATGAGGATAGAGATGAATTCATATTATTCTGTTACGATTATTTTTCTTGTTTTATTCAGATTTATGAATGGGAAAAACTGTATGAAACATTTACTATTGGGGGAATTCCAATCTGCCTAATAAAATAAAATAATGTAATATAACTTTTTTATTTGGGAATTTAAGAGCCTTACTTATGTTAACGTGTAGCCAACTGCCGTCAACATCTATACCGTTCATTTACTTATTGTCAAACTGTTTAATTTCTAAAAAATACCTTTTCAAACAATTCCACAAATAACACACGCAAAGGTGTTTAATGTTTAACAAGAAGTTTCAGTTTTAATTTTAAAAACATTTGACTGCATTTTGGAATTGTAAATGTGTTTCAAATCGGTTTTCATAGTTGGGTCAGGTGGATACCAGTGTGACAACCCATATGTGCATTACTCATATGTTATGTCCTGAGTTACTCACATTGTTATTTAACGTGGGAATCAAACAATCAGGATGACGTAGGTTTTAAGTTTAGAAGTTTTACCTTATTATTGTTGAAATGAATTACCTTGGAGAATATAATGATAACCATTGGCTTTGGAAAAATTGTAACATACCAGTATTACAGATCCGGCATTATAGTTTTCGTCAATCATTAATTTAATACCATACCAAAATATCAGTGCAGAAGAACAAAAGATGGTTAATCCTATGGCACCAGTTACTAAAAAAAAAGAGAAAATCACAAGTTTTAATTATTAGTTTACTGACTGAACTTTAGAGCTTGTGTATACTCATTGCCTAATTCATTAAAATTACGAATTTCCGAGAACGATTGACCAAGATATGTAAACCTTTTCGTGGTGTCTTTTATTTTGATGCCAATTAGATCGTAAAATGATTGTTATCGAAATATGCGTATTTAAATTTCATCCTCGTATTTGAATAAATTGTTCATTTCATTACTAACGCGATTTAAATCAATAATAATATACGAGGATTGGCAGCATTTATGTATCTATGACAGTCATTCATATGATCCAACTGGAGTCAGACATCGGGCCACTAAAATCTAGATGATTGTTAAATACTGAGTGTATTCAAATGATTTACCTAGAAGTAAATTTTACGAACAGATGGAACCTATTTAATGATCTGACTTATGCACACCAGATAACTGTGTACTCAGAAAAATACTATGTAACCAACTGGTTTCGGGAAAACAATACAAATATCGAATAAGCTATCTCTGATTAGCTAGTATCTATAGACCCGACGAAAAATCTTAATTGAATCTTAGATTCGGAATGAAAATTTAGATAACATTTCAAAACAGTGACATCACCTTTTATTTGCACACCTTAAGGACAAACAGATTCATCAGTTAAGGCAACATTTGAGCAATCACATGTGGAGGTTTAGTCTAATAAATATATTAGACTAAACTTCTTGATGAGGTTCGGATTAGCAATAATCATTTTATATGCTACCAATAATTTTTTTAATAAGACCTGTAAAACAGTCATGAACGTTGCGACAAATTCCATATCTATAGTATTCAAAATGAATTATCTAGATGCAGTAAGTACTTCCTATTCAAGTTATCTGTGACATGTGTAATAGTTCAGTCAGCTAGTCAAGCGTAAAATATTATTTGTCACATTGGTACATCGATCCAAGTTGCTGTACCTCATTAATTTAGCGAGTTAAAGTTTTCGGGGTTGATCCCAAAGTAGTAAATGTGGAAATGGTATCAATGATTATATAAAAGGTTAGGTATACAATCTATAGTTTAGAAAATACATAATTCCGTGAAATAATAGAAAAATTTTGAGGGAGTTAGAAACTTAAGGTTTAAGGTAAGACAAAACGTTCATACGCTTGTGGCATAGCGAATAATCTCAAACAGAGCTACCCAAAGGCTTCAACGATTGATTACAACAATCAAGAGGACCTCAATCATGTGGTCTGCACCTATCTACGTGTCTTAATTCAACTGTCAGTGAATTCACTGAGTGACGCCGAGTACTGGTTTTCCGGCTCCGAGCTTTTTTCTAAACTACTCCTAAACTAACCAACTCCTGTGTCGAGGTAGTCTATGGGATGCATCCGTATCCGCCAAAGGATAAATGAATTTTTAAGGAAATCGCAAAAACTAAAATCATCGAAATAGTATCCTGAATTTCCACTAGCTATAAATCTTCTTTACAATTTGAAAGTTTAATGAGATTTCAGAAGCAGTTATATTCGTAAGACTAATTTGGGTATCCATGATATTTCTCCTAAAATAAAGATAATTTTTTGACTATTTACGAGAAAGATATATCCATTCACAGAATCTTACCTCCACCAGTTGCCGTCGACTTTTTGAGCCCGACCTTTTCGGCAAATACAAGCTGCTCACTATATCTTGCTAGCTCCTTCTGCTCGCCACCAAATGCCACAACAGTACGAACAGCTTCTAAAACTTCGCCAGCGATAGAACCTGCTCGTGCATATGCAGTTATTTCTTTAACAGTGAAATATTTCATAATGAAACCGAAACATCCAAAAACTGCAGCAATAACAGGTAACATGCAACAAGCTACTAGTGTAAGTTTCCATCCCACTGAAAAACTTATTATGATGCCTACTATGAATCCTGATATGTGTTTTATAAAACCCCCGAGTGTTGTTCCAATACCACGTTCAATGAGCTCGATATTCTGAGAAAGTTTGCTGATTAGTGACCCAGATGACTGTTCATCATACCATGGAATATCTTGTCGTAAAATACTCTAAATGAAAACATGATTTTAAAATAAACTTAACTTCATTAGCTTGTAAATCCAAGTCAGTGGTAGAGTATGTTTGAGTTATACTAGGTTTGGGTCAAATGAAATTCAGATTTATTCGCCGATATTTAATCAAGGTGTACGACTAAGCAGATGGTCATATAGTATTTCTAAGTGTTCTATGTTCTGTTGGTTACATACATTTGAAACGAACACATTAAGCCGAATCCCACTGACCATTTTAAGATAAACTCCGTTTTAGGTCTTGAATCTAGGCAAACTGAGATCTGCGCCTAATATTTCAGCTCATACAGATCAGGAAGTTCTTTTGCAAACTGAAAACCTATATTCGATGGGATGACTCCTCAGTCAGACCAATAAAAACAAAATACGTCTGAATTCGATCTGTAAACTTTGAAAATTGAACTCAGTGAATTTCAACTCGAAAAATCTTCCTTTAATGTACTCATAACACTGTATAGTAGATTGTGCAGTTCCCAATTTTGTATTTAATGCAAATACCCCTGCTTGTGTCATATAAGTTCAGCAGTGGAGACCGTTTTCAAAATATTCAGAGACTTCCATTTATAACTTATTAACAACAAGTAGTCACTTATAGGGATTTCATTTATATGATTTTATATAAGCAAATCTGTCAAAACACATGAAATTGGACAAGATCCTTTGAATTAAAGAGATTTCTTGCACGAGAGAGCTTTGAGATATTTAGTATACGGAATGTTTTATAAACTGCCAAACTATGGTATTTTGAAATGGTATGTTTTTGTAAAACGGTACACTGTGTTGTAATCTTAAAGAATTTCGTCATACACGCAGTTGAATTTAACTTTAATGAATCTGTTGAAAATATCAATTGCCTTTTATATATTTTAATCGCTACTCTAATGATTTCAGTGAGACAGTTTATTACCATATACTTGTTCAACTCTTGAAAAATTGACGAAGTCACAGTGCCGAATATTTTTGTGACCTTAGGGTTATCTGTCATTAAACTTGATACATTTTTCGTAACATACAGGTTAAACAGCAGCATTTGAGCATTATGTGATCACATTCGTCATTGTTACATATATCTGTAACCTATCAATGCTTCTATCATATATTGCAGTCGTACATGGAGTAAAATTACTTTGTGCATAAACCGTGATATTGTGTGCTGGTGTGTAAAGCTTATTTACATTACAATACCTAGTATAATTTTTCAATAAGATGACAAATTCATTTTAACGCTTAAATGACACAGATATGGATTTGCAGACAGGCAGCCTAATAAGTACCTCGCAACGTAAACAGTCAACTGCCTGTCACAGAATGACTCGTTGGAGAGCGTTGCGCTACACAAAGTGATCTTATATTGCGACCCAAAACATGTTATTTGGTAGTGTGTGGATCCAGAAACCTCATTTGTTCAGATGGTTGCTTTGCATTAGCTTGTATGAATGTTACTTTTCCAAAACAATACTCTGACAAACAAAATTGCTAGGATATTTTGATGGGCATATTAGACGTAAACTAAGGTGTTAATAGAGTGATTCAAGAGATACGTTTATAATCAACTACATTCTATGAAATTTTAACCATTATTATGAAATTTATAGTGTAAACAAACAAATATTTACCGAAAAAACAGGTAACAACTTACTTGTATCTGTATTTTAGTAGTCTTTCGTTTACTACAACAAACTGTAGTTCGGTATTTATGTTTATCTATTTTTCATTGACAAAATGATTTTAATAGCTAAAAGCCCTTCAGAAGTTTAAAATTGTGGCTTCTATAAAAATCAATTCAAAAACTTAGTTTTTTGACACAAATAAAGAATTGTTATTACAATTACCCATAATGTGCATCGTTTCTTTTACCGAATTCACTTAAAATTTGCGTTTCATAGAACACTGCACTATCAGTAAGTTAGAATGCAGTCTAGTTCACCGCTTTGTATAATACAACATGTTTAACCTCACAAACAAAATATGCATGTATTTTCGTTATCACCTAGAAAACCGTGTACGAATGCTTCTATGAATCATACGAAACAGCACATAAATAAAAGGTTAACCTGCGTCACGGTAAGAAAAGACTTTCAACAGTGTGATAACCAAGAATGTTTTTGAAATAGAGTACTTTGAGACCATTAGTGGTGGTCAACAAAAATCAAGCTCAAACTGCGTGAAATTCACCGGAGCTGTAGGTATCAACCAACTGAAGTTCATTAAATTTCTTCTAGAGAATCTACCAACCTTACTCACCTCTGTATCAAAATTTTTCGCCTTTTGGCCTGTTTGTCTAAACCACTTGACATTACGATCCATCTTCTATTCATACAGTAATTTGATTTTATTATATACACTTAGCTCAATGCATCACTTCTTTTCAGTAACGCCAAATTTGCGACCAATAGTAATATATCTAGGCCCCCAGGTAAAATTATAACTCCCTTAGCCACTCCCTGAAACTGGTCTCTTACATATGACTTCTGATTACAACATGCAATCAAATCCCCTTAAAATCATAATATAATTTACTATTACCATCCTGCCATACATGTCAACTATCTCTGTCCTAAAAATGTAGCAAATTTCTTTTTTTCCTAGTCCTAACAATTAAGCCTAAAAGACTATGACTGATTGACATCAAAAACTGTACATTTTTATCAATGTGTAAATTTGTTTGAAAACCAAAGATTAGAGAAGTGATAACATATAAATTAACTAAATAGAAGGTAAAGTGACATACCTTGAAATACAGCAGACGGATCCGGTTAATCTGCCTGCTTGCTGAAATATTCATGCAAAAGTCCTGGATAAATGAAACGAGAAACATTGCAGCTCCCAAAACAGCAAACCATTTCACTGAGCCATATACGTTTTCCGCAATAACAACATTCCCCCCTGTAAACTCGTTTACAACCCCTTTGAAGATAAATATGTTAAGTGGGAATGCGGCACCAACTGCAACAGCACAAATACATCCCACTACTAGTGCACATATATCTGTCTTACTAGCATATCGGAACTAAATAGTGAAATAAGAGATTTACGGTTTAAAAGTCATTACCAGACCAAAGAAAGAAACTTTCGGGTACACACTGTGCTCACTTTAGTTTATAGGAACGAAGTTCTAGCAAACTTACTTTTTACTAATACGCTTTGTTTTCCCCCGACATTTCATGATACTAAATAAATGTTACCTTTGAATATATTCTACATTGTGGTCCACTTAAACAAAACACACCCAATGCCTATGTTGCAACAGAAATGTCGATAAACAATGGGACATTAGTCTTTTTCTCTTTGTATTGTCTTAACGCACTATTTCAATGTTTCTTGATATTCGCTGCTACGTTTCAGTTGACTTTCCTAATAAGTCTCATATATCTTTAAATGGCACTCAAGCAAACCTTGCAGTTATGAAAGTTGATAGATGTTTGAGGTATGTGTCCAGATCAACGTTAAGATGCAGTTGATGTCCACTTACATTCCATATTCAACACACCATGTTGAAACTGCTGTATGTAACCATCAACAGTAAACGTCGAACTAAAATTATTTAAAGTGAAGCTCATCATATGCTGAGTTTGGGATACTCAAGCATTCAATTACTCTAACAGCTCCCCCTCTACATATCACCTCTATAAAAATAAAATTGTAGTTTGAACCCATCTACGGTCGCGGCATATATAACGCTAAATTCCCACAGGACTGTTAATTCTTACTTCACATTCATAATGTCACTGTTACCTTGAAATCTATGAACATATTTCCGTAGGCAAACCTCGTAACGTCCTATAACCAAATCACACATATTTCATGTTATCGTTTCTTTCTTGGAATTGATATTTCTCAGCTCTGTGTTAAATATTTGCTGTTTGAGGACAATTCATACAATCTATATGGTCAGTTGGAATCGCATTTTGTAATTTTACAGTACATCATTATTACACACTGAATACTTTTGTTGTATCCTAATCACTAGTTGTAGCCTGTAACAGTTATTTATTGAGGAGAAACAATTTCAGTGACAGTGAACCTAGACGTTTTCTAGAATTACTTAACTTTAATCGTTAATTCATACCCGGTTGAGCGCAATAAATGCCAGCTTTGACAGGTTCTAATAGGTAAATTAAAGAAATTCTAAGTTTACGCCTGAGGCTATTGAGACCATTAGAATGATCAAGCGTGTAATGTTGCCCCAGGTATTCGAAGTTTGAGAACACCTTTGCAATCGAAGTAAAACAACCCGCTCAAATCAGAAGTCTGAAATAAAGAGGTTCGAAGACATATTTGGAAGGCTATCGAAGCGTTTGGTCTAGGCCGGTTCACAGTTGGAAGTCGTGCGTAGCACGGCGTACTCACTCGTGATCTAGTGTAGGTGCATGATCTAGCGCCTTCAACCAGGTGAGTTCAGTAAAACCAACAAGGTCAGCACCGAAGTCGAAGACTTAAAGAACTATTTATTCTGAGGATTTGTTTACCGCTACAGAACGAACCAGGTGTTTACTAGAATGGAAAGTGCTCCGAAAGAGAGCAATGTTAGGATACGCTAGTAATGATATATATTACTGTCTTTTTTAAATCCTTTTTTATTCATCTAACGCCAGTCGCGAAGTCATTATGCAAAAGTACGAGTCAGATCATTATAGGTTATCTCAGTAGAATAGCGAATTCAACACAAATTTTGGAGCATGAGTCTAAGTTGCGGATGTATTAGAATAACGTCACTATCACCGATCGACTTGATTGTCCTCAGTCTCAGTTTAGTCTTATGATCTGTCATACCTTTGTCTTCCCTACTACAAACTGTTAAGCACTATTTAGTGTTAATTTCCATGATCACATCTATTTAACAACCCAGCAAATTCTACAGAACAAATTCGCGTGAAGATTAATATCAACAGGTTCCGTTAGATTTTCCATGTTCTAGCCACGACTTCTCCCTGAAAACTAAATAGCACAACATATGTATGTTGTAAGTTTAGGTGTTCTTTCAAGACACAACAGATATAGTAAATAAATGTAAACGTCGATCTAAAGCAAAGTTTAGCTTAATAGATTTTAAATGTACTGTTGAGTATCTGTTTTTTATTACTGTTATAGGTGGTTCATGATTAATTTAATATTTACTGTATATTTCTTCAGCTGACTTCACAAGTACTTACCGACACAACTGTAAGTTTTCAGTTTAGTAAACATTTTTACATTACCATTCTTACCTAATGTACATTTCATATGACACAATGGGCTGTAGCTTCGTCCACTCAGGGGTTCAATGATTGTTCTCACATTTTTGCATTATTATCACGGAAACTTTTGAGTCTACGGACATTATACGAAAGAAAAACCGTTCGTTCTGCTTGTAGAACCCTGTTAATGAAAGTTCGACCTCTATGTGGTAAACTCGCCGACGATTTTTCTCTAATGTAGAGGTTTCAAATAGTTGAATTATTTGTTGAAAATTTATACGGATTTTTTTGTTTTGATGTTCAATCTCATTTGTAACGCCTTAGTCTTTCAACCATGGCGATGCCGATATATAGGGTTTGTTATTGCAAGTGCTTACAAGACAGTACCTCCTCGATGGTGAAATTGATGATGTCACAGGTATTCAGTGTTTGACAACGCTTCTACCAGTAACACCTTCTAATGTAACGCTATTACGTGTGGAAGAGTATATTTGGCGATGACCAATATATCGGAATTCTCTGATCTAATCTGGCTAGCGATTGCGGTTGATGTTGAGCACGGCGTTACCACACGTGATCTGGTGCGGATGCATGACCGAGCGCCTTCAGCTAGATGAGTCCACTAAAACATATGGTCAGCATCCAATGTCGAAAACTTACAGAGCTATTTAGTTTGGTGTCTATTTACCGCTACAAAATAAACCGTGATTGCGTGATTAACTATATTGTCTTCTAAGAATCGCTTACTTAGTTCCATTTGGTACGCTTAGGCTAAGTGTTAATGATGACTTGGAAAAAGATTACGCTGTTTTCTGGAAGAAGTCCTGTTATGTTCGATATCTTTAAACTGAATGAATAGACAGAAAACTATGGTAGCCACAAGAGAATGGAATCCATAAACTCACCTACTGCCAGCCATAGTTCGATACATGAAAAGTGCCGTGCGAAGATTATTTTGGCTGAAAGGCAGACAAAAACATGGCAATATTTCATTCGTGGTATTTTTTAAGTATACAGGCCTCCCAAAGGCACATGTACAATTATGCAAAGCTACCCCACAGGTACTATGCTAACATGTGGCATTGTTGTACAACATTTTCTAGAATACATTGGTTGGGCAATTCTGTCGGATCATCTGTCATAACCAGGCAAGTAAGTAATAGGATTGAAAATAATCCTATATGTCTATAGATTGATAATTTGCATAACACTTCTTTAATGAGGCGCTTAAAAGTCGATGCATTGGAGTTTCTCTCGTTCTTTATCAGTGTTAATAGCACTTTCTGTATTTTCCTCAATGTGGTTGCTCTGCAATAATCGATTTTTGTCTTGTTTTCTGCTAACGCAGTCCTCTTCGTCGTGGTTCTTGTTCGAGAAATTCATCGGCTGACCTGACTAGTACTTTCGGGAATATCAGGCTCAGCAGACGGTTCATGAATTGAGCGAAATTCAAATAAGATTCAGGTGACTTCTAGTACGCAGGAGAATGCCCTACAACTTGTTTGAAGACAGCGAAAAAGCAAATGTATACAGGTAAGCATGTACTCATAAATTTTCAGACTGTGGTGCTCGAAGGCGGGTCTTCAGTTTGCTAAGACAAGAAGATGTACTATATCTTATATCAAAAATGGATTCGTTACTAAAATCTGATGTAGTGTCTACTAGCAGATCACGTTACACAAACAATTTCCAGAAGTTGTCAGTACGAATTCTTCTTACAATACCAGCGACAATAAGTGGGGATGCTATTTGGTCACTTTTACCTTGTAGGTATTCGTTGTTACACTAATGATAACTGATAACTTCGGCCATGGTCGTCCGATACGGACAGAAACGAGAGTCGATGTATTCAGGGTACTAGATCGGTTTATAGAAATAATGGGGATATATCAAGGATAAAAACCTTCGTAATGGACTATGCGCTGTCAACATCACTTCTCGGCAAGCCGACGTAATAATATACGACTTCCACGTTGGCATGCATTATGTAACATATTGTTATCTAAGAATGCATATTGTTTTTATTAATAAAAACGTAAACGAATGTTGACCAACAACATTGTACTTAGATCAATAGTAGTATGTTAGGGGCCTAGTTGAGTCGCATGGCTAAAGCGAAGACTAATGGATGCAGCCATTTTTGGAGTTAATCAGTACTTTAGAATAATCAGCCGAAAATGCCGAAGGTTAGGACAGTATCCGAGTTGGTCAGTGCTGAATAGAAAGGCCATGTGAATTGTAGCTTTCAGTGGCTACATACTTGCATAATTATGGTCTACTTTGATATTAATACTGCTCCGATAATAGGCCTATTCCTAAAATAGTACATTTGTCATGATGTAACTGCCTAATCTATAAGATCTTACGCTGAAGTCACATCATTGTCTACACTGACTCATCGTATCGTAATAATTACCAATATATGATGCAGAACATATTCAGGCTGGATATGGAACAATATACTTGATATGAGTAAAAACAAGTTGTACAGAGCGACCACGCCTGCAAGACTGAGCCATGCCATCCGATCAATTCGAATAAATTCAGTTCATCCTTCCCATCTTCTTCATCGCTGAGTTTTTCTTAGCGTTAAATCTGAATGTCAATTTTCCTAGTTGTCTCGTGTCCAGCCTTGAGGATTGTGTGGTGAGGGCCCAGTGCCACTACAAACTCATTTAAAAGAGTTCAGAATGACAATGGAACCTGGAATTAATTATACATGCAATAATACACAATTTTCAATAATGCTAACATTATTGAAAATTGTGTATTATTGGATTTTTTGAAGAAACCCCAATGGTTTCTTCACAACACTTATGTACCCATAAGATGTTTGTGAATAATAATAATAATAACTATATTTCTTACTTCTTTGGAAAACGTTGGAGATTCTTTATAGCATCATATGTACATCAATAGAAGAGAATCACCTCTTATGAGACATTATTAAAAGTGCCCATATGCATGTATGCCCAAGCAACCAATAGAGGGGAAATAAAGGCAAACAAAAGG